TTTGAAGTCATATCTGTATCTCCTATGGTGTAGCTGGGCTCCTAGAGGTGTGCCTGGCCTAACCTTCGATTATCCTAGTTTTTAAAGTTTTCCTTTATGTGGTCATTAAAATCTAACTCCGTACTAAATTTCAGCTCACTGATTTTATGGGAAGCACTAGTTCTATTTTGATGATCATGAGTGAGTGAGTGTCCTTCTAAAATCTGAAACATTGCCTTTGCTTAACTTCGAAACTAAATGACCTACGGACTTGAAGTTTTGGCTTTTAGTAGTGTTTGCTTTGCGCTCGACTCGGCAGGCACTGCCGTGCCCCAGGTAGATAATAAAATTTCCACCGCTGACAGGATTTGAACATGCGACCTTCGGCATCTGCACTGCTGTATATTCACACTTATGACATTATCATTGTCCCTTTTGTAATAATTGACATTTCTCAACTGAAGGTCGGGTTTCCAATATTGCTAAAAATATGTAAGTATCTAGGTACTGGAAGTAGTGTTAGAATTCAATGCCAAATTATATTAGGTGAAATTTTACTAGTGGCTGATAGTGAAATCTCAGATCGGGCTGGTATAAGAATCAACTTTGTCCAGCGAACATGGGTCGAAATATGAAAAAAATGTACCTCCCATACAAACAAAGTTGCCAATCAGCTGATATTTTGAGTTACTAGTGGAGATCAAATTTTTTTATATTTCGACCTTTGTTCCTTGAGGAAAGTTGAACCTTATCACCAGCCCGTCCTGAGGTATCGGTCACAAGTCAAATTTCATTGTATATAAATTTTAGTACCCATAAATATATTTAAAAATTGACTATCTGTATAAGCCATTACTAATAATACCAAGTAAAAAAAATTTTTTGATAGGTACGTCCATTGTTTGGTCATCAAATTTAAATAATGTATTGGCGACTCTACTCTGTGCCAAAGTCTCTGTGACGTCTGTGGCAGATATTTTCGCAATTTAAAATCTGTAAATATCTAATCTAATCTATAGGTAAATATAAAAATTATTTTGTGAATATGTTCATGTAATAATGATGGTTTTCATTGATAATAAGCAATAAATAATAATCCAATAATCTTTCATCAAGTTAAAAAAACATGAAAGAATAAGTAATACGTATTAAATTTATGATTAAATTAGGAGTGTAAAAGAAAAACCTAAAAATATCCAACAAAATAAATACAAAAAGTATATCTCGAGGATTTGATCCGAGTACCCAAAGTTTATTAGTATGCAAAGAATTCACTCACTCTAGCCACTAAGCCAATGTCACATCCAAGAGAGGTATCAAAATTTAGAGTAGGTATCGGCAAACTCGTTCAAAGTAATGCGATTGATTAGAGGAGATTCCATGCATCCACACTTCTCTCTACCAATAAGGTGTCTACATAATGTGTACGCGTTACATTGGTAAAAAGCTAACTATTCTTCTTCACTAACATAAATATAATTTACTTTTCATATAAATAGATAGTACTTGATAAATATGAACAAAAAACGTTCACGTAATGCTAAATGTACCTATTCCTTATTTTTTGCATTTAGCTATTTTCGCGTTGAAAAATCATTTTGCGCTTCCTCGATATAATTGTTTTTGATATGTTGCCCATTTTCAAATTTACATTATGGGTACACTGGATGATGGAGGCACAAGACCGTAAACTGGCGTAAAAAAACTAGATACACTTATTCTAGTAACGTATCTTATTCAGAGTTGACTACAAAATATTTAGAAGCCTAAAAATTTACACAATCTTCAAATAAACAAATAACTGAAATTACGACAAAAGCTGTCAGTTTCGGCGTAGCGTGCGACATGACCTCTCTCTGGCAGTGGCCACGGTGGAATGAGCGGAGCTGGGTGGCCTGTTTGCAATTCGCGCGTACGCGTTAGAGAGGTCAGAGCGACCCGTCCGCAAAATGGCTGAAACCAAGCCATTGTTGAAAATCTAAAATTATTGATTTCTCAGCAATAAAAGGTTTAAATAAAAAAACAAACGTTGACTAACTAGATAAGTATAATGTGCTTATGCTTACGAAAAATCATTGATTAGCTCGGCACCGTTTCGGCATAAAGTTAAAAAATCTAAAAATGGAGTCATCTTTGGAAAAAAAATCTATCGAGAAAATTTAATCGAATCGTGTTTTGCGAACGTTGAGAATCTAGCAAATATTATCAAAAATCATATATAAAATAACCACAGTCAGGTGTCGTCTCCAAGTGGAAGTATTTTGAATTGAAAAAACCCTTTTTGCATCACGGCACGGCCTTAACACGACCTGTTGTTTTAAGCCGAGGCTTATAGAGTCGCGACGTTTCGATGCAATAAGTGCATCATCTTCGAGAGTCCGACTAGTATAATGGAACATCATGTGTTATCCTTGCTCGTTAAATAGTTTAATAATATGTAGTCTATGTTGAGAGACACAGTTTGTTTTATTCAAGTTCCCATAGAAATTCAGTCAGCTCGAGTTTTAACGAGAGGCCGTTTATTTTTCTCGTTTACCAACATAGCCTCCATAGAAAAAGTTATTCAGTGTCATGGCCCAATCATGCCTAAAAAGATTTCGGTACACTGTCTCTTACACCCGCTATAGATTGTATGTATTCGCCCGCGCCAATGACGTCATCCATTCATTTTCCGGACCTGTCATTCACAATCATAACGTGAATGGAATGCTTTCTAGGTTTCTGGTTCAACAAAACATTTGGGTTTGCACTGTTTAAAATGCTAAGTGGTTTCACAGGGAACGGTTGTTGCTGAGCTGCAAAAATCATTGCACGAGAGAGCCTACTTGTACAATGAAACTACATACCTACGGTGCTGTCTGATGCCTGTCGCATCATCCCAATTCTACACGAAGGAATCGTAAGGTATAAAAATCTTCTTGGGAGTACCTACCTAGATAGAAGCGTTCCCTGTGAATGCAACATATCTAATGCAATATATTGCACTATTGTCAAATGTGGTTAGTATGGAAATACTCAAACAGGAAGTCCAAAGCCAGTCGTGGACCGTTGTGGCTTTTTGAGTGATGTAAGTTACCTTTTACTTTTACATAGCATGTCATGGGCCTTCCCTTCTCGGGGAGTATTGTCATACTCACCACGCTTGGCAGGCGGATTGGCGTGCGTATTTAGTGCTGGATGTTTATTTCCCACGCAACGCTGGTGCCCATTTTATGGATAATTAGTGGAATTACGGTGATGCTATTTTACTGCCTGCATCACACGGCAAAGCTGTATACCTATCCAAGATCTTACACTTCAAACTGGCGCCTACTTATTTCCAACGATGAAGTAAATTGTATACTCTCTTCACTTACGTCTATTTTCTAGTATTCATAATGTTGTTAGTTTTGGACGGCGCCGTGTCTGAATAAAGAATGAGATGAGCTAATGTTAATAAACGAACATTTTAGTTGAAGTTTATATAAACTATGAAAGGGTTCTGCAGGTATAAAAATTTAGAGTCTGGCTACGTTTTATTGGCAATGGATAAAAGCCCTTTACTAAATTTACAAAAAATTCATCATTCTTTTTTTCTTTTAAATAATGTACCTAACAGGGAATGCCTGAACGCCTGAAAGTTGCAATTGAATTTCTTTGCCAAGCAGAAAGTTTCGTTGATACTACCTATCATTGTCGTTACAACTGTGATCACTTGCTGATGCGTCTCTATTTTCGCTATGATCTAGGTATATCTATTGGGTGTTACAAAACAACCAATAAAGCTAAAAGGAGGTCAACAACTCATAAAACTGAACAACTTATGCCATGGAACATGGGTCGAAATATGAAAAGAAATATACATAACTTTAAAAAATTTATAATCTTAGTCAATAAAAGTGTCCAACAAGATAGCGCTGACAACTGTAACCTTCGTAATCATAGCTTGAACACTTCTTAAACACGATCTTAACAGAATTTCCTAAAGATTCTCAAGGATCTCTAGAACTGCTGACGTGTATCAGTACCGGTGATAGATGGCGGTGTAAGTGTTTTATTTAAAGTGTCGACGATTATGTTATGTCTGCGTCGGCGTGGAAGTGGCGCCGCGAGATGTGGAGGTGCGGAAAATCTATTCTGAAGTATTGTAAACTGCCTATTAGCACTATTTACCGTGTGATGCCGGCCGAGAATAGCATCACCTTAATTGTACCAGTGGGTGTCATAAAAAGCGACTAAGGGATAATCATCCAGGAAATGCGCAGCAGCGTTCCTTCCAAATGCTCGCTAATCCACCTATCAAGCGTGGTGAGAATGGCAATATCTTCCGATAGGGGGAGGCCCATGTCCAGCGGTGGACTGTTGTTTAATTACCGCTATCACACTCACCCTGCTAACAGGGTGCCAGCCGTTAGAATAGGCCATTTTTGACAGCTGTCAAAATCATGTTAATGTTATGACATACGGTCTAAATTTCTTTGTTGACATGTCTCCTAGTATGGGTTTGCAAGCTGTCCAATATGGCCTATCCGAACTTACAGCTACTGCCCTCTCCCCCTCTCCCGTACCATCCTAAGTGTTTTTTCGTTCCCAAGTTAAACTCGGCTATATGCGTTTGTATCCCTAATGTGATAAACCCATGTTTAGACGATGGGAACAACAATCTCATAGATAAAGACATTACAACTAAGCTAATCCTAAAACCCTTTCACCTCAATGTAAAGCTTTATGCAGTTCAAATCATTGGTTCAAATAAACATTGATGTTGTATTTCATTGATATAACTGTCTATACTTACAATTAAGTTCGTACTGTTATCTAATTGTATCAAATCAATGTATTTGCAACACTAATCGCTAGTGTTGCGAATAATGCGGGTTCGAATCCTGACTACGTTGTTTATTAGCAAGTTCCTTGGATCACATGATAACTTATTATGAAAAAACCTGTAGAAGACGGAGCGCAGTCTCTTAAAGGAAAAATGCGTATGCGAAGCGTTTTTGACCAAAATATACTTGCATAAATTCGCAGGCTAATATTGAGCCGTGGTAGCTCAGTTGGAAGGGGCTTCACCATTATTAATGGTGATGTAACAGGTTCATATCCTGCCTGTGGTAGAAAATTTCACAAGTTTTCTAAAATACATTACACATGTACCTTTTTATAGCCTTGTGGAAGTTAACGCGGTAGGATTTAGAAGGAAAACAATCGGATAAAATTACCAGTGCCTACTTACGGTTACCAGCCATTTTAATTTTCTTGAATACGGCAATAATTTCAAATATGTTTACTTAATTGATTGCGATTTGAATTTGAATCATACAATGCTTTTAATAAAATACTCGGCTTTGCAATTTATTAAAGTACAGTTAGTTGATACCAATATTTCAGTCATGAAGTCTCTGTGCCTTATTATATCGTCGATAGCTGTTCTACTCGTTAAAGAAGGTATGTTCTTATCTTGGTCCTTATGATGGTAAGGCGTGTTTCGCACCTGACTTCCGATTATGTACAAAAACTAAGCATCTGAGACAGATGCCAAGGCACGTGTTTCCATCGCTCCTGCGTAGTTTTTATTACCTACCTATAGTGATTTCCCTTACAAAAATGTTCTTTTAATAATGTTTCTTGACCCGTTTTTGGTAGTCATTAACCATGGAACATTATTTTTGGCAGATATGGGATCAGATTATGAAAATTTATCCCTGATTTTGTCAGAATCCAACATAAACTTTGTTGCCGTCTGCCAGATGCTTTTGTCAATGCTTAATAAGGAAGCGGTTTGCATGCATAAAATTGATCGCAAGGGCGAGGCAAATAATTTCCTACACACACTTTTTGTTAAAATTTTTGAATATCATTTTATTTTCCAGGAATCGCACAGTGCACAGCTTGTGACCCAGGAAAATGGGGTTACGACTGCCCGCTACCGCCTAAAGGACATTACAACGTCTGTCAGAAGACTCTATACGAACCATACCCCTGCTGCGTGCAGTATAAAGACCCATTCATACCTTGCACATCGAACGACTACTGCAGTACTGTCACTGTGTGTATGCAAGAGCACCACCCTGTGTGTACTATAGTTCCAGATATTTTACCAAGAGGGACATATTGCGTGTGCGCCATCGATGTTCCTCTACAGTCTCCGCATTTTCAACCACTCCGCAGAACTGGAGGTTTTCCCTCAGTTATAGAAAATGAAGAATAAAACAATATGGTTTTATTTCAATTATCTTTTACTTTAATCTGAGTAAAATTTTATGCTTTAGTTTATCGTTTTCTTTAAACCGGGTCTAAAGTGTGTACCGAAAACTTTGCAGGCTCGATAACACCTGGACAAAATTTACCTATTTTTATTTTATGATCCTGTCCGAGCGGTGTTTACTTTACAGTCGCAAAGAAAAGAGATACCTATAGAAATATTTTTTCAATTAATCAAAGATTTCAGTCTGTATTTCAATAATAGGTACCTACATGCTATGAAATAAAATTTTAGCGGTAAACCGGTAAACTATCAATGAGTGATAAAAAAACAAAGAATATCGCACAAAACGCCAAAGATCTTTGAATAAAGAAATAACCCCCAAAAAATAGATAGAACCTACGTATAATATCATTGTGTAGATGTCGTCATTGCAGTATTCATAAACAATTTCCTACCGCAAAATCCAAAACCGCTGAAAATAAATTCGCAAATTCATAAAATAAAATCTCTAGGACTAGAAAATAAAAAATTGTTGGACGAAACGTATGTGCCGAACGCAGGAAATATAGCGGTGTCGGGTTTAAACAAAAATCTAGAACTGATGGGGGCACGCTGCGGTACATAAACACACTTGGTCATTTCATAAAACGTCTACGCAGGGACGCACTCAGGAATTTGTAATGGTCCCCAAAAATAATTGGCCTTCTAGTATGCAATATATGTTTCGTTTATTGTCAAAGTTTTTTAAACTGTTTAAAAACTCTTATTTTACATAATTTTTGCATAAAGGTATCCAAAGTAAAAAGTTATCAAGTACAATTTATTTTTGTTTATTGTGTTTTTAAAATAGTTATTGGGTGCATTTATACACCGTGCTGTACACCGTGCTCGTCATAGCAATGTCACTCAACTGGCGCGATGGAGAGCGAATACAAATGTTGGTTATAACGTTCTCAACAACAGAGTTTTGGCACTGTGGAACAAACTGCCCCAGGAAGTGATTGGTGCTCCATCCACTTACAGTTTTAATAACAGACTTGATAAGTGGCTTTTAAAGCAAATTAAGTGACTGTGACTATAATGTAGACTATATGTGAACTTTAAAGGGAACTTTTGAACTTTTACACACACCAGCCAAGATATAGGAACATCAGCCAGTGGCTGCTCGCCTATTATTAAATAATAATAATAATAATATTTTAACTACTTTTAGATATATAATATTTTAATGAAATAATATTGTAATTCTATGCGCGTAAGTAAGTATATCAAACAGTATGATAGACATTGACAACTTTGACAGTTGGATGTAGAAACCCTCGCGGTCATGCGCCCCAGTTTTCAACTGGTAGTACCAATATACGAGTTATGAACTACTTAACTTTGCGCATACTAACGTTAATATATTCTTGTACTCTGTCTTACTATTTTGAACTATTATTTTTTTTTCTTACTTACCTTCACTTAGGGCCCCGGGTCCACAAGACCGGGCCTAGAACTGGTCGTCGGTGTATTTTCTATTTTGATAGGTTTCATATTTCTGGCGGCGGGGGGCGGTCGTAAACCGGCCACAGTTTGGCTTGCTGCCCTACCCACATTTATTAAACACTAAGGTATGGTGTGTTGAGTCCGCCTTTTAATAAAAAAATAAGGGTGGCAGCCAAAATCTGCAAGAATTTCGTCGTGTAGGTATTTAACGCGTTAGTTTATTTTATTGAGTACTAGCTGGTGCCCGCGAACTTCGTCTCGCCAAGGGATGCTTGTGTGCCCTCCAGAGCTGATAAAGGTTATCATCACTTAATATCTATCATCGATGTTGATCAAGACATTTGTGTGCAACCATTCGCTAAGTTTTGAAGGGATAGATGTATGCACGATCTACGTTTGAGCAAACCATCGGTTCAAACTACAGGTAGAATGACTTCTTTGCACCGCCTCACATAAGGTGGGGTGGGTCTTTTCCAAATTTTTCTGCGCCATGGTCTTCTGTTTGGGGTTGTCGAGGAAACTATACGCAACCGGAACAATACAATTAGTACAACTCGATTTTAAAATACCGAAATAAAATAAACAGAAAGTAATTACTTACTACACTGACAGCCAATGTGGCGTAGTGGTTAGTATGCCTGCCTGCCACGCAAAGGTTTCGGGTTCAATTCCCGGTGGGGTCACTCACAAAGTTGATATTTATCAATTTGTGAATGTGTTCCCAGTCTGGTTAGGACATTGCAGGCTGAGCCACCTGATTGTCCGCAAGTAAGATGGTTCCGTGCTTCGGATGGGCACGTTAAGCCCGGTTGCTTATGTTGGCGGTCGTTACACAACCATGTCAGAGGCTTGCTACTTGCAGTAAGCGGTTGAAAAACTCTGACACCAGGGTGCATCGGGTCGTTGAACGTAAGTAAATAAAAAATTGACACAAGTAAAGTAAGAAGTACACTAACAAAAAATGTAATGCCTAATTAATTTTCTTTAAATAAGAAAAACCGGCCAAGAGCGTGTCAGACACGCCCACAAATAGGGTTTCGTAGTCAACGTTTAAATATCAGGTTTTTCAGCATTACAAACTTAATTTTGTTGCTGGTTTGTTAGCAGCAGTATGATGACCAACCGCAAATAGAAAAACTCATTTTTTTCTGAAACCTTCAAAGGTACAATATCTGTTATAGTTTTCTTTGTAACTTCAGATTGTAAGCTATATTCTGTATTTATTTCAAATTTTTAGCGTTAATACTTTAGAAGTTACAGCTGGAACAAATTATGGGTCAAAAACGCCCTTTTTAAAAGCAAATATCTCGTGATACGTGACAGAAACGTTTAGTGACTTTGTTTCAAAGGAACCTCCCCTTAGTTTTAAAAGATACCCTACTCAATATTACAGAAAAATAAAAATATTTTCCCCCCCTTTCACTTGTATGGGAGGGGGTCCAAAAAACATTTAATATATTTTTTTTCTTAACATTTCTATATTTGGGTCAACACGATCTACGACCTTCTCACCAAATTTCATGTCGATACACGACCTTCTCACCAAATTTCATGTCGATAGCTCTAAAACTGACGAAGATATGAGGGCGCGGCATACAGACAGACAGACAGACAGACAGACATGACGAAACTATAAGGGTTTCTAGTACACTACGAAACCCTAAAAAGTACCTCAAGTACCTACTTACTAACACTGCAAAATATGAATCACAAAAGAAGGTAAGTACTACACAGGTAGTCGTGACAATAGGTAATACTCACTAATTTAAATCTACATATTTTAATCAATAAATCTGCGTTTTTATTTACATTATTAATTAAGAATTTCAACACTGCAAACACTTCTCACTATATTTAGAGTTTGACCTCTACTCTCACGGGAGTCTCTACTCCGCATGGGAGAGTTTGAGATCCGTCTCAAGAATGCCACTGCTTCTCCTGCTCCGGTCCACACAGACCTGAAGACCCTGGAGAGTGAGTATGCTGATTTTAAAAACTTAGTCTGGCAAGCGCTCACTAAAATATAAGAACTGACCAACTTGCTGTCTCTTGGACTGGAGCGTCATAAAGCTTTCCTGAGAAGAAAGGTCCTCCTGTTCCATGTGGTCGCTGAAACCAAGGATGAAAGGTTAGCTGAGGTCATTGCAAAAGTAATAGGTAGGTGACAAAATGCAGCTGTCCGACATTACCAGTTCCGATCTGCAAGCCTGCCACAGGCTAGGTCTATTACTCGTTAGGTTCTGTGACCTTGACTAACGGAGGGAAGTCTAGGATTCGAAGACGGCACTCTAGATTACAGGAATGGTCATATCGGAGTTCTTGATCAAGTCTCGACGCGACGACCTCTTTGTTGCGGCACGAAAGTACTACGGCGTACGGGTGAAGAAATAAGTTTTTTCACAATTTCTCATCACCACTTTG